TACTCACGATTAAGGCTAAAATACGTTAACGCCGTGCCATGTATGGCAGCATCCTTCAATCCCAACAACATCCCCAAAATAGAGCTGTTACGTTTCACAGAAAGCTTTGTCTTGCCAGTCATGAGACCGCCGTCTTCACACCATACACCGTCATCTTTATCACAGTTACATAAGGCTAGAGAGTGCACAAGAATTACTTACAGTTAAAACAATTCTGATGTCACGATTGTCACCTGATAATAATTCTGATCTTGAAAAAAAAAATGAATATCATCTTTAACGTCTATGGGTAACCATGTGTTGCGAAGGAATTATAATAATGATCAAGCTGTTTAGGTGTTAGAGGTGCAAAGATGAAAGGTGTACCTACAAAAATACTGGATCGAGTCACCTTAATTCTATTTCTCAAATATAAGATGATGTAATTTAGTATTCAATTAATTCTGGGAAGTACTCTAAAGATAAAAGATGAAATATGTTCACGCTGTGCCATAGCATTTCAATTTTCCCAGAGTACGATAACCTTTTTCACTGCTGCCACCAACATCACCAAAATAAAGCTGTTTTACTGGAAGCGTTGTCTTGTCAGTCAGGAGACCGCTGTCTTCACGCCATACATTGTCATTCTTATCACAGTTACAACGTTCTCCGGTGTTGGCACATGAGTTGGTCATCCCGCATGCGCACTTTCCATTGCCAGGTGATACTCCACCCCAGTATGACATTCTTTTAGAATCACGTGACAACCACCACGAGTTAAACAAATGGGACCCGTAACACTCGTACTTGATGAACTGTTCACATTGAGAAGAGACTCTAGTGAGACTCGCCAACTGCGAAAGACTCGCTCCTGTGTAGTGAATATCATGCAGAGGCTTGTGGCTCGGGACAAATGTCCTGCTCTCACTGTCGTGACTGATGACTGTCACGCCAACTCCCTTCTTATCGGTCATGTCGCAATAAACAGAAAATGAAGCCTGGCCTCCCTCACCATCTGGATCAATAACGTAATTTCCGCTTACGCTGCTGACGTATTTTCTTATAGCAGAACAGGAAGAAGCTGTAACAGGGGAATTGATTTTGACTTTAGCTTCTATTCTTTTCACAGCATTAGTCGCTCTACAGGTGTAAAATCCTTGGTGCGATTTCTTAATGTTTTGAATTACAAGAGTTCCATTCTGTAAAACAAAAAATTCCCCAGGAAGTGAAAACTTGCCATCCCTTATCCAGGTAATTCTCGGCCTCAAATCACTCTCGGCTGCACAAGGCAACCGTAGAGTTGAACCAAACATAGCAGAAGTCACTTCTTGAGGAGGACGGACTTTAAAGCGCAAAGGGGAGAATAACATTAGTAGAGCCGCGACAGATACTGACCCCAGGATATTTTCAGCCTTGCAAATGTATGTTCCACCATCGCTTTTCGTCACTTTGTAAACTGTCAAGGCTCCTTTCACCACGGTGGTTCGTCCTTTCTGCAAAGTTCCAACGGCTTTTAGCCACGTGACCTTAGGCTGCGGCTGACCAGAAGCGTTGCAGAAGATTGTTACGTTTTGCCCTTCTTCCGCCATAAGTCGACTAGATAACCAAAAAAGGCGAGGATGAACTGGATAAAACGAAAGAAAAAAGAAAAGAAAGGTGATTTTTAAAAAGGAGACAAAGCTTTACTTGGAAAATCTTTAATTCTCAAACTTGAAAGCTACTGTCTTTTTAAGTGTGTAAAATAGCTAGTTGCAGTGATCTTTCTAAAACTGTAAAAAAATCCGTTTTCTACGTTACTGATGAACGTTGTTTAAGCAGACAAAATTGAAACTGCATTCTCGACATAACTATTCTCATACCATGGGACTATAATATCAATTGTTGCTAAATATATGAAGCGAAGAGACACCAAGCAACCGCCGGAAGTTCTCCACGACTTTTACATATTCAACTACTGACCTCTCCAAGTAGATGAAACCGTTTTTGTCTCTTTAAACAAGTAAAACTACCTGCCCGAATCCTTTCTAAAATTTATAGAGTTTCTGCAAAGGAGGGGCCTAAATCTTACAGAATTATGACAACTCAAATAAGGCAGCTCACACTGAACAATCAGTTTTGCTGAATGGTTGACGCTTCCCAGCAAATTCTCAGCTCGACAGTTGTACAAACCCTTGTCTCCAGGCCTAACGTCCTTCACAACCAGAGCACCACTGGACTCTACCACGTGACGTCCCACTGGTAGCGAAGAATTCATCTTTGACCATGTGACTTGTGGTGTTGGATTACCGTCAGCTGTACATTTGATGATTGCTGTCTGACTTTCATTGACCGTGGTTTCAACAGGACGCTGCAGCAGAGACGGAGCCCGGATGGACTGGCCCGGCTCACCTTTTGTGCCTTCTTCACCTGGCGGGCCTCGAGACCCCACGGGACCAGGAACACCGGGAAGTCCGAGATCCCCTTTAACACCCTTCTCACCTGGCGGGCCTTTAGGTCCTGTCGGACCAGCAACCCCTGGAACTCCGAGATCCCCTTTTACGCCTATTGGTCCTTGAAGTCCTACTGATCCACGTTTACCAGGAGGTCCCCTTGGACCGGGTTTCCCTGGGGGACCTGGTCTCCCGCGGGTTCCAGGTCTTCCCCGTCGTCCTCTGCTCCCTTTTGGTCCTGAGCGGCAGAGCTTTTCATCTTTAGCACAGATTTGGTTTTTCAGCAGACGAAGTTCTTCTTTGACAAGCAATTTTACTTCAGCCGATGTTTGAGTCGATTTATTTTGAGCGTTGCTCACTGATGCCCGCCTTTGTCTTGAAACTTCATCTCTTTGGCCTAGAACTTAATTTGAGAAAGTCAAGTATAAACATTACGCACCTGATGATATAAAAAAGGGTCCTTCAGATCAAACGTTCAGCCCTGCACTAATTACCCATAAATATAGACAGCAAAATTTCTGACAAAAAATTAGTTTGCATGCTGTCGAAGACGAGGGTGGGTACTGGACCAGTATTTGGGTGTACATGTAGGTGAGCCGCTGATGGTTTGAAACCCTGGCCCTGTTTAGGACCAAAATCCTAAAATACATACCATCTTTAGGAGAGACTTGCACGAAATTATATACCCTGTTTAGGACAGAGAGGTCAATTCAGCGGCACATCGCCATATAGGCTATATAAGGGAGTGCCCCCCTCCCCCCCGCTGGGGTCGAAGTCAATCAAAGGGTTAATACGGACCATGTATTATCTATGTTTTCTTTTCATTTCTATGTACACTTGCCTGAAAACAGATTTTTTAAGAGCATTACCGTAAAGTTCCCAAAGTAACGACAACCCGAAAGTAGCGACCCTTCGAAAGTAGCGATAAAATTTTACAGGTGTTAGCAAATACCAAAAGTCACTAGCGACCCTCCGGAAGTAGCGACTTCAAAAGTGATTTCCTTTCTACTTGCTAGAATTAACAGAAATTATAGTTAAAACAAGCTTTACAAAACTAATCCGAGATTTATGTTTTTACGGTAATGATCTTTGACACTAAATCATGTAACTCAAACGGGACATCTTTTTTTTTTTTTTTTCAGAAAGCCTTCCTTTTGTCTGTGAATACCCACACCGTAATCAAACAATTCTTTTGAACATTTATTTAGAAAGCAATAACATGAAATACGTTTCTCCAAATAAAAAGTGTGGATGTTTTCCGATTGTCGCGATATCATTATAATCGAAACTTCGTACGGCCCATGTACGATACACATTTTAGCTACCCCAAAGTAGCGGCCCCCTGAAAGTAGGGACCGTCCGAAAGTAGCGATGGAAAAAGGATGCCAAATCCGAACTGAGTAACGAGGGTCGTTACTTCCGGAACTTTGCGGTATATTGGAGATCTGAACTGGATATGGATGTACTTGTCGTCTGCAAGCCTGGTAGCAATTACCGGTAAAAATTCAATACTTAGGTAAAGGAAGTTATAACTCAAGCCTCCGGGCGTGACAACCCGCTCTGAGATACTATACTTTCGCTGTCTTCAGGGTTCTCCCATACGACAAGAGAAGTAGTAAACTTGTATAGCTATAGCCCCAGGTTCTGAAGAGAAGCCAGCCTAATGGCAAATAAAAGTCAAGAATACGAAAAGTAACACAACTCACTTCTTTTCTTCCGCCATTCTCCTTCCAAATGGCTGACTATGGCTTCTCGCCATCTTCCGTACTCCAGCTGAACTTTTCGAAGGATTTCTGTTTCTATTTCGTCTCGGAATGTTCCAGAGGTAGAGTGTGATATTAATCGATGATGTTCTTGTGTTCTGAGTTGCACGTGAATTATTGCGATACAACAAAGAACAGACAACAGCAAGCTTGACGTGGAAAGCAATCTGTCCAGTTTTCTTCCCTTGTTCGTCTGCTTTTTTTCTGCGCTCTCATGTTCCATGTCTCTAGTGCTTTCCCTGGTGTAAGACTTCATCAAGAAAACAGAAGAGCAGCAATGTCTTCCAGAATCTATTAATTTAAACCGGCCTTTTATGTCGAAACTAAAAACTGGGACGAAGGGAAAAGGGCTGCACTTTATAATTGCCTCTGCTCCTTTGATTGTAACCCCGATTGTAGCCAGCTGAACGCTAGTGTAAGTGATAAATAACACACTCTCCAGCGCTAGAGGAAGTCATGACTATTTTAGAGATATGTTTGGAAAAGTTATTTGACAAGAACGAGGAAACAGTGCGTCTAGTTCACTGCTCCCCCGGAGGGGCGGGGGGGGGCGGGGGGGTACTCCGTTATTTAGCCAAGATGGTTATGTGACGCTGAACAAGCCATGGTATTCATATAATAATTCAAGGTCTTAAGTCTTAAACAGCGTATATTATTTAACTAATTTTTCTAATAGCATTTTGAACAGATTGTCTTTTTGGATGGAAGCCTTTTAGAAGAATGTGAACCTTGGCGACAAGTGATCTACATGTAAGGTACCAGCAATGTTTTTTTTAGTTTCTATTATCATTCCATGATGTTAATTTAAAAGATTACCTAATTCTGTGCGAAAAGAAATGAGTCAGGGTTTTGAAATTAAGTCTACTTGTCTTAAACAAGGTAACGAAAAGAACGACTTTTGTCTTAAACAGGGTCAGGGTTTGAAGGCCTCGGCGGCACACCACTACCCAAACTTTCTTTTGAGTGTCCCCGTCCCGAGGTTTCTGCACTCCTTTTGTCTGCCTCTCTTTGGAACTCTTAGGTCTCATATCTCTGCTGCTCTTCGTGTAACAGTTTAGCAAGAGAATGAAAAGGAGTAATAACTGACAACGTCGATAAAATCAGTCTTTGTAGGCCGAGACTTAAGATGAAGCTTAAATTAACAAAAAGTCACGTCGGTCGTCACTTTACTATTGAAGTGTAACCTGAACATTAATGTAAATCGGTGTTGACTACAAACAAGCACAGGGAAGTAGCACTGGCTTCAGTGCAAGGGGAAGTCTTGAATTTCTTGAGTCAAACTAGCCCCTATCATTGCCGAGATGACTGAAATAACAGGAAAATGGAATTAAAGAGAACCGTTTCACTTTCGTTTCATTTACGATCATCTCTAAAACAACTGTGAAGTGTTCTTGACCGTAATGCCGGGGTACCCACCGACGGGGGGGCGGGGGGGGGGGGGTACTTGGGTTAATTTTTGCTGGGTATATGCCGCTGGCCTCTCAAAACCCCTACCCCATTATAGTCAATTCTGTGGCCAAATATAGACCCCATCTTAGTCACTTTTGGGAAAAATGTAATTTTCGCAATCCCAACTTACAAAATAATCTTATTTTACAGAAAAAGGTGTCTGGCGTAGACAAGGTTGTGACTTTAGAGGACTTTTCAAGATTCAGTACCTAATAAAGAAATCACTTACTTTTCAAGGACCTAAACCGAATTCAAAGACTTTTCAAGAGGACTAGTAACATTCAAGACCTTTTCAAGATTGTACGAACCATGTTCACAGGAAATCCTGTCTGTTCAGGGTTAAATGTTAAGTAACGTGCCGTCTCTGCTTTTGTGTTCTATTTCGTCGGTAATTTATATCAATAACTTATCATGAATACGTGAAAGAACTTGGAAGAGAAGAGACCTGAATAAGAAGAGTTTGGTGTGATAAGAAAGGACACGAAAAAGGAAACTGATGATATCGCAACGTTTAACCTTTTTATTCTCGTTAATCACTTAATAAATAAGTATGGAGTTTAAATGCCTGTAAAAACAGTTCATGGACGTCATAAATCACTGCAAATCGACGTATTATGCAGGTAAACTTAAGCAAAAATAAATAACCTTTGATCCTTCTGCTTCTTTATAAACATAAACATAAGCGACGAAAACAATTTCTCCCATGGTGACCTTCTCGAACCAAGGAAGATTTAGTTGACGTCACGAGTAAATTGTTATGACTTCCCGCCCCCCTCCTCGCACCATTAATACTCGATCCAGTCCTTCCGTTAGCTCGTCCAAGAACTCCATATCTGTTGTATCGAGTCAAGAATGAAAACTAAGACAAATTGACGGATAAATTCCCTTTGATTTTCAGTCAAGGTAAGGGTTATCATTCCATAAGACGGTAAGACCTGGTAACAATGCACGCTGCGCTCTTTTTATAAACAATTTCGTACCTAATTCTACAACGGTTAGGCGGAAGGGACATCTTCCATATCCAAGCCTACGGATGAGGAGGGGATTGGGGAAGAGATTAATAAGAGCGCTATTGATTAAGGCGGATACACCTTTTACTAAAACAGAGTGAAGTGGTATATTTACAGTTGCCAATAAGAACCAGTGACCAATGTTTACAAAAAGCACGTGGGAGCTGCTTTTTGTTTTGTTTTGTTTTTTCAGTCAAAAAGTTCTCTAGTGTCCAATAGGGCAGGAGAGGAGAGAAGAAAAGGCAAGAAACGGAGGAGGGGAGGAGCAAGGGAGCCTGTCCGCCCCTTTTCTCTCTTCTGAATTCTCTCTCTCCAGGACCTTTTCGCCTGGCCCCACCCGATTCACGGGCCGGTTAACATACTACTGCGTCTTACGCAGGGAAATAAAAAGATGATTAAAAGTCTCTTAGAGTAAACCAGACAGCCCTCCACCCCATGAGTTTAAGATAGAGCGTGGCCGGTCGTACACTTTCCCCGAGAATTAAATAGAAAAAGTATTTACGATCAGCTACCCTCCATCCCATGGAAAGTTAGTTTTAGTCTGTTGAAGGAATAACTCATCTTCCCTCATTATCGCAAGTGACTCATTAAGACGTTTCACTAACCGTTACCACCAAGGGATTAAAAAGGATACAGTGTTGCCAGTCGTTCTCGTCTGATGGAGGTCCTGGGAGATTGATGACGAGCAGCTGAGTTCCTTTTGATCTGTCTTTCACAAGCTGATTTAACTTTACAGCTGTATTCATGCGTCGAAGGTTTTTCTCCTTTCTAATGACATACAAACAAAGAGATTTATTGAAAGTATTTAGTAGTCTGCATTACTCGACAAACAGCAACATGGAATCTTTTCTCCATATACCATATTTCCTC